TGAAACCAGTGTAACTATTATAGACTCTACCTGTGCCATTAATAAGAATTTGTCATATTGACTATCTACTACTTCTCAACTAGAGTAATGTATAAAATTGTCTTATAGAAAAAATGCTCATAAATCCTAGAGAATAATTTCCCAAGGATCAAAAGACTTCAATTGAAAAATAAACACTAAAATCATACAAATGTGTCTTTCAATTGCAAGTTATCACTGCAACATAAGAATTTGTTTTTATATCTAGTCAGAAAATAAGAACACTGAATTTCATAGTATTTATGCACTCTCAAGAATGTCTTTGTTCCTCTTCTCCCCTCCCACTCCACAGGCCACACTTTCAGAAAGTGATTCTAGTTTATCTGTTTGAATTTATGCAGGAGAGAAGACTCCTTTCCCATTTAACTGTAGTCACATACTTACTGTGGTCACATATAAAAACAAGGCTGCATTTGAGCGAAAGTGGGCTAACTTACTTGCCTACCTTTGCCCATACTGTGTCTCATGTTATGAGTTTCCTCTGACCTTAAAGCTATAATTTTATAGCATAAGATATGAATTTTCTTCAGCATATCCAAGTCATGCTGGAGAATATGGGTTAACATTGTGCTGACAAAACCAGTCAATGATATTGAACTATGCCATGTATCTCCTTGACTGTTTTATATTTTGCACCCTCACTTTTCATGGTCTTTCACCCTCCCATGTCTGTCTGGTTTGGGAAATCTCAGGGCAAAACAATGTTTTACTTCTCCGTTGTCCAGCTCCCTCCCTCTCTCTATCTCTATCTTTTTACCTCACTCCCCATGGTGGGTTGAATGATGACCCCAACCAAAGATATGTCCACTTAGAAACTGTGAATGTAACTTTATTTGGAAAAGGGTCTTTGCTGATGTAATTTAATGATTGAGAGATGAGATCATCCTGGGTTAGGGTGGATCCTATGACAAGTGTCCTTAAAAGAGAAGACAGGAAGAGGGGAGAAGACAGACACAGCCAAGGCCATCTGAAGATGGAGGCAGAGAGTGGAATCATTCTACCACAAGAGCCACGGGAAGATGGAAGAGGCGGGAAGGACTCTCCCTGAGAGCCTTGGAGGGAGAATGGGTCTGGAGTCACTCTGATTTCAGACCTTTGACCTCCAGAACTCTGAGAGAATGAATTTCCATAGTTTCAGGTCACCAAAATTGTGGTCTCCTCTTACAATGGCCCAAAGAAAAGAATACACTTCCTGAGCCTCATTTGGACTGAAAGTAGCAGATCTCTGTTTTCCTACGCCTAATGTTTTCATCCTTTGAGCTTAGGGTCTGCCAGCTCACCTCTCCCCAGGTTGTTTCAAGTTTCTCTACAGCTTAGATATTCTGTTTGAGAAACTCTAAGTTGCTTCATTGTTTAAAATTCTGGTTTCCAGAGAACTATCTTGTCTGTCCCTCCTCGCGCTTCTCCTTATCCTGTCCATCTGTTCCCCTTTCGCTCTATTCACCTTTTTTGGTTCTTAAATTTTGGCATCCAATCTCCTTCACTGCAAATACACTTTTATGGTTTAATATTCACTTCTGTGAAGTTTGATCTTTCTGTCTCTATCTCCACTATATTACCATCATTGCCTCAAATTCCTCGTCAACATGATCAGGCAAGCCCCAGATCCTCGCAGAGGTGACAATTTTTCAGGGAAGTATCTGAATTCTTCCTACGTATACCTTCTGTCTGGAAACTATAGCCTCCCGTGGCAATTATTTTGCTACATTTCCTTTTAAGCAGTGGCAGTCCATTGCTTCTATCAGGTGTTTGGAATTTTGCAGGAGAGTATGTATGTATTTATTTTTCCTAAATGATTGCATGATCACTATAAAGAATAAAGTTTCCTGCATCCCCAGAACTATTTGTACCAGTCCTTTTCTTCTGCTCCATGGCACATTTCGAAGTCCTCCTTTCCTTTGTTTTGCATTTAAATTACTTCCAAGACTCTTCTCAGTGATTCTCATAGGCATAGAACCTTTAATTCCACACCCGGCCTTTAAAGTGTAGCCCTCCTTTTTTATTTGCACCTGCATTGTCCTCTATTTATTCTGTGCTTTTCAAATACTGAGCTACTTAGGCTAGAAATTCTGAATTAACTGTTCTGGTTGGGGCTCTGACATCAGCATTTTCTTTAAAAATTTTTATTATTGATTGATTTTCAGATGGGGGAAAGGAAGAGAGAGAGAAGGGAGAGAGAGAGAGAGAGAGAGAGAGAGAGAGAGAGAGAGAGAGAGAAGAGAGAGAAACATCAATTTTTGTTGTTCCACTTATTTGTGCATTCACTGGTTGATTCTTGTATGTGCCCTGGCTGAGGATCAAACAGTAACCTTTGGCTTTATTGGGACAACACTCTAACAACTGAGCTATCCTGCCAGGGCTGGCATCAGTATTTTTTAAAGCTCCCTGAGCCATGTGGTGTGCAATCCAGGAACTGCTGCTCTAATCTGCCCTGCACTTAACATTCTTCTAGAAAAATATTCAAATGCCAGTTGCATCATGTCATTTACCAGATGCATGAAATCCAAATTCTTGAGGCTAATTTTCAAGGTCTCTCAGTTCTACTCCAATCTTATTTTCTGCTATAATTGACTTGGTCCCTCCTTTAATGCCAAGCTAATTTCCTCAGATTCTTTATATCTAAAGAAAAATTACCCCCCCCCCTCCCATCAAACCAAATACACACACACACACACACACACACACACACACAAAACAATCTGGCAAAAGATTTTTGTGTCATATTTATGGCCATGAGTCTGAGACATATACATTTTCCAAACTGAAATGTTGGACCCCGGAAATGTTGGAGCGTTTATGGAAATAGTGGAGTAGAGCATTTGAAACCAAGTCAGCCCCTTCTCCCCAAAGCCAGTATGTTTGCTTATTCATTAGCATGACTGTACTTTTTTTCAGAGAGACTTTGAAGTAGATGTTTATACTAAGTTTAATTAAAGAGCATCTTTGAACCAGCTGACCTAGAGGAACAGCCTTCCCATCACTTGCTTTAAATGAAAGGAAAGCAAATTGTATTCGTCCCCTTGGCTAAGTTGGTGACTGGTATCTTCCCTTCTGGTCAGTTGCAACAGTACTGCTGCCTGGAGAGGCTGATGACTGCGTTTCCTGATCCATTGAGCAACCCAAGGTAGATTCTTACTTCCCGCACATCTTCCCAGAAAGGGAGGTATTTACACTTCTCACACGAATGAGAGAAAACTAAAACTGAAACAAACAACTACGCTTTTAGATATCTGGCTTATGACTGTAATAAAGTAGACCCAGTTTGCCAGGGAATTTTATATGAGCTCAATAATGAAAATTTCTACTAAGGGATATCCATCAACCAAACCACAGGACAAATATGGTCTGGCTCAGGACAACACTTGATGTTGTTATTGTTTCTCATTTTCTAAACTTACAACATAGAAACAACAAAGAGAGGAAATCAATAATTGTGGCCCTCCTCAATGTTTATAATATTTTTCCTCAGCTCAGTTTACATATTTAATCTCAAAAAGAGCTTGTTAGGCTCTGGGCCCTTTCCTCCTTGTGAACTAGGGATAATGGGAATATTCCTTAGTCAAGTTACACACACAGAATGGAGTTCTTAAGGAGCAGTGGACTGAGGATCAGGATAAATGGCTTCTTAGTCCTTACACTGCATTTATCAAAGTGCTTTCAGGCTCCATAGCAATCCAGTGAATGGGGGCGGCACTAGATCTCCATCCAATAGAAATGGAAATTGAGGGCCCAGCAATACTTATGATTCACTGATGGGGCCAAGAGTTTGTAAGTGCAAGTTAGGGTGATTGATGCATTCTGGTTTGCCCAGGACTTTCCTGGTTTAACATCTTTGGAATCCCCTCAGTTTCTAATAAATTGAGACTTTTGGTGATCCAAGTGGCAGTGTCAAACAGCATAATCCAGTACTGAGGGCTACAGTCCTACCCTGCACAACACTCTGAAGTTATTACTTTTAATGCTCAAGTTACTCACAGATTTGTCACTTGGTCTCACAACTAACAGTTCTACAACAGAACTTTTAGGACCAGTGAATGGATGTTATCTTTATCTGTATTCCTCTAATAACACTCAGAAGTAAATAAGTGTCATAGTAGGTGTTAAATAAAAGCTCATTAAATTATAGCCCATTCTCAAACACAGTTAAATGGCAATTTAGAAAAAACGTGGGAGAAAAAACGTGGATCTAATAAATTATTGCAATGATAGTAATATCGGATCCAGAGTTTAACTGAGTGGTCTTGCCCCTTATTTACGATGTAGTAGAAAAAGATATGTCAAGAGTCCTGAGTACTAGTTCTGCTTTTGTCACTAATATGACTTTGAGCAAACCAATTTCTTTTAAACTTCAGCTAATGTAAAAGTTACTGGTTGTGAATTCAATGACTTCTTAGTTTTAGCACTGCAGGTCTCAGGCCACATTCAAAGAGGAAGCAGTGTTGATAAGGGTTAACCAACAAAATAGAATTACATTACCGGTTGAACCGTAAGCAGAATTAACAAACAAGTACTGTTCTTTCTCAACAGTTTCTTCCTCTTCTCTGTAAATATCTAATCCCTCCTATCAGCCCTGAAAGCACTCAAAGTCCTTTGTGTTCTCTTTTCTGTCCCACTAGAAAGTCAAGATAAATTGGTTTGCCCATATAATTGATCTCTACCTAAGTTCCATCTTTTTTGATAACTACTAGATTTTCTCATAAGTTTATTGAACCAACATTCTATTACCCCCCCAAAAAATGACATTAAAACATTCCATTTGGACTCTCCTATGCCAGAGCTAACATTTTTGTTGGGAATTATGCTTTGCATTATTTGTAGCATTTTCCCCAAGTCAACAACTTGGTATTTGTGTTGTATCTCTCTTAATGACTACATAAGTCAATCAAACAAACCAACAAACAAACCAACAAACCAGCATGTCAGTCAATCCATTCTGACCTGATCAAAGGCTCTATGCTTACCAGAGGATTTGGAAGAAGAAAGCCATAATCTTCAGAAATGTGAAACCGTCCTAAAGATAATGGCGATGTTGTCTTTAAATTCTGTCTTTGAAGTTCCATAATTGTGTTTGAAGTATCTGCACCCGAAGCTGCTACTAAAGAGACAACTGCTTCAAATATATCAAAGACCTGGGTTAAGGGAGCTTCAAAAGAGCATTTTCATTTCAGTTAGTTGCTTAGTGTCCCAGCAGCAGGTGAGAACCTTGACCTGAGGCTGAAATCCAGACTGCCATGGACTTTCTCTGACACAAGGCTGAGTAAATAATTAAAGATTGCTTATTAAAACCAACAGGCAAACAAAAGCACCTCAGAAAACATTGCTCCTTTTTATTCATAGATGTTAATATTGGTTTTAAACCCAGAGACAAGTTGGTTATTGCTGATCCCAAATACCCTTATAGGAATCTGATCCACAATTAACCTTGACAATCGAGTCTTTATTCCAAAGGAGTAAACCAGAAGGTAGTTACATGTAGATATTTCAGTGACTGGTGGTGAATTAGGGTAGGAAGGAGGACTCAATGAATAGTAAAACCCCAAAAGTAGTGTTTCATATGTAGTTTGAACAATATATTCTAAGATTATAATTTGTCTGATTTACTTTAAAAAGTAATAGTTCATAACTTTTAAAGATCTTGAATATATATTCAAGTTCATATAGTTCATAACTTTTAAAGATCTTGAATATATATTCAAGTGAAATAATGGATTTATTTAACAAGTGAAATAATGGATACTAAAAACTTGAGAAGAGCCTGAACACTGAATAGATCATTTGCTTTAACCCTCAAATTTTATTAAGTATCTTTTGAGAATCTATCACTAAGATGTATGATTTTACCTATGAAGTAGGTTCTACCGGATCCAAACTGAGGCACAACCATGTGAATAACCCTAACCCAGTGGTTCTCAACCTTCCTAATGCCGCGACCCTTTAATACAGTTCCTCATGTTGTGGTGACCCCCAACCATAAAATTATCTTCGTTGCTACTTCATAACTGTAATTTTGCTACTGTTATGAATCATAATGTAAATATCTGATATACAGAATGTATTTTCATTGTTACAAATTGAACATAATTAAAGCATAGTGATTAATCACAAAAACAATATGTAATTATATATGTGTTTTCTGATGGTCTTAGGCGACCCCTGTGAAAGGGTCGTTTGAACCTCAAAGGGGTCATGACCCACAGGTTGAGAACGGCTGCCCTAACCATTGTCACACCACTAGTTGACAGCAGAGTGAGGACTAGAGTTGACGTATCTTGATTTCCAAGCCATTGCTCTATTTACTAAATCAGGCAGCCAGGCTGTAGGTCAATGATGCCATCAGAGTTTGAATTTACTGCAATATGGAGTGTGGTAAGCTCCAGCCACTGATCTGTACTATGAGAATTCTGAAGACTCTACCTATGACCTTGAGCTTAGGTTATAGTTTGTAAACAAATTTATTTGGAAGTTGATTTATCTATCCACATCTTCTCTGTCCTCCCATTCTTTAAAGTAAATATAAAAGCTAAAATACAATTATTGGAAGTGCTCTGATAATTCATTTAACAGTTCCCATGAAGGGCTTAGCTCTGAGGGTTGTATGTCAAATATAGTGATTCATGTTTCATCAGACATCTAACAGCCATTTTCAATTTTCTTTCCACTCAGCCCAATATTCAACCAGTCTACAAGTTCAGTTTCTTATGCCTGTTAAATAGAATTTCTCAAATTTTGTATGTTTAATCTTTTTCTTCTTTCCTGATATCTCTGATTAAAAGATGACCCAGTTATTTTTGTTTACGCTACTCATCATGTTTCATCTACTTCTCTACACCCTCTCAAGAAATTATTGTAACATTATAAAAGCATAGAATCATAAAATATCAGAACTGAAAGGAACATTATAGAATAAATTATCTAGGTGAACACCCTCATTAAACATATAAAACCCTGAGATTTATGGAAGTAAACTGACTAGGCAAATATCATCCTGGGAGTTCACATCAGAATTGGACTAGAATTATGACTTGTTGCCTCTGAGCCCAGAACCTTCCCACTGTTTACTCAGCCAGATCTACCTCAGTAAGAATCCCTACTCTGTCACCCATTAGCTATGTGACTTTTCAACAAGTGGGAGACAAGAGGGAACATTTTAATACTGAGCCTTTGTTTCCACATCTGTAGGAAATAGTAATTTTTATCCAAGACATTTTGTGATGAATAAATGAGAAAGCATAAGTGTAACATGTTACAGATAACAGTAAGGGCTATTTTTCTCATCCTAGAAATCCTCTTTTAATATGTTTCTTTTTTAGATTTTCTCTCCTACCATTCTGATTACATCTTTTCTGTTTCAATCACTGACTCCTTGTTCTATTTCAGCCTTGGACATATACATATTTGCAGTGTAATTATAGCTATATTTCTCAACTTCAGTATTCTTCTGGGCTTCTATCTGATATTAACCATCAATTCTGTGCCCAGGTCCCCAAATCCGCATATTCAATCTTTATTTTTCTTGTTCCCTAGGTTTAGACGCATGGTACTTGTTGGTCAGTGTACATCTCAGGTCCTGCCACCAAACTTTTGAAGAGCTCCTGTAAAATAAATAAGGTTCAAATTTCCTTGCCTGGTGTTCAAGAATGTCCATCATCTGACTGCCCAAACACCTTTCTTGCTGTGAAAAATTCTACAATCACCTTGGGCTTCTTTCATGTCACATTTCAAGTTCTACCTGGTTTGATTGTTATTAATGTATTTCTCTCATCTTTTCTGTTGGATTGAAAGCTCCTTGTAGAACCTATATCTATGCAATTTTGCATTTTCCTTTAGTAGGAAGTCTACTGTCTGGATCTCAATATATGTTTGTTAAATGAACAATCAGTCAGAGTCTTATTGTGGACTCTATATTTTTAGAACTGGGGTCTTCATGCCAGGTAGAGTTTTGTGCTAGTCTCTGTGGTCCACTTTAAGCCCAGCCCTTACAGTAAGGAAAGCAGATGACTCACTTTCCATAAAGCTCTGCTTTGCATCTTTCTTATTTACCAAGAGGAAGTTGACCAAACATAATTGTGCCCAGGAACTTCCTCTCTTAGCAAGAGGGGTTGGAGTTTCAGCTTTCCCATAAATCACAGTAGTATCAGTACACAACAAGGGTCTGTTTCTCTTAGACTGGGTATTGGGGCCTTTAAAAAATGGATCAAACAGCCCTGACCGGTTTGACTCAGTGGATAGAGCGTCGGCCTGCGGACTGAAGGGTCCCAGGTTCCATTCTGGTCAAGGGCATGTACATTGGTTGCGGACACATCCCCAGTAGGGTGTGTGCAGGAGGCAGCTGATCAATGTTTCTCTCATCAATGTTTCTAACTCTCTATCCTTCTCCCTTCCTCTATGTAAAGAATCAATAAAATATATTTTTAAAAATGGATCAAACAGTATCCAGAAAAGAAATAGGATATCATTTTATGTTTACTGGTAGCAACATCAGATATACATAGATTTAGTTTCAAAAACAATCAGCCCACACAGTACTGCTACACTGGGGCTCTTGTACAGCTCATTAATCATGTTTTTGTTCATAAATCCAATGGACTTTCTAGTCCTTTCCTTGATTAATTATTCAGGTATTCTGGCTATTGACCTACTTCTTTTAAACCTTCTCTTCTCCTCTTGTCTTCTCCTATGATATCTACTCCTTGTTGTATGTTCTTAAAAATAATAAGAAAAAAACTAACAGTTAACACTCACTGATTTTTCTTCTGCACTACATCCTATTATAAGCATGTTCCATGGAATGTCTCATTTAACCCTCACAGCAGCCCTGTGAGTTAGGTACTATTATTATTCCCATAATTTATTTGAGGAGACTGCAGGTTGGAAAAGTTAAGTAAAAATCTAAGTCATACTTTTTGTAAGTGTGGAGTCAGGGCTGGAATACAGAACATCTGACTTTGCAGTCATTGCTCTTAACCATTTGAACCATGACTTTCCTTATTTGGATATTATCTCCAATTTTTCTGGTTACAGTTTATGCTGTTTGTAATCTCCATAATTCAGGTCCTGACTTCCTTCTCTTTTCACTTTGCTCCCTGTCCCTGGGTTATCTCATCTACTCCAAGACATCAGCCATCATCTCCAGGCTGATGAATCCCAACATTGTTTTCAGTTGAATCTCTCCTTTCATCTTCACTTGGCTGCTTTATGGAGGTTTCATATAAAATAGCATAACATATCAAGCATATACTAGATACCTTACATAAAAACAGAAGCAAAGACATATAAAACCGATAGCAACTAGCCGAAGGTCTAGCAGAGCCCACAACCTAGTGAAAAATCAAATCTGTACTTGTCAGCTTTTTTTCATGAGAATAAAACTCATTTTCCTCATCTATTCCACATCCTGGTGTATATTATCCCTCAGAACCAGCACTATAATTTAAGGGGCTCCAGTGAGGAATGAAAATAAGTACCTTGCTCAAAGTTATTAAGGATTTCAAGACACAGTAGAGCATTAAGCCAAGTATGGGGCCCTTCTGCATACAAGACCCCATGTGACTGCACAGGTTGAATATCCATGAAGCTGGCCCTAGCACCTCTGTTGCTACAGTTGACCAGTTAGAGACCTGGAAGTCAATTCTGCATCACATCCAATAGAACACCAATCTTGCCAGTCTCACTGCCTTAATATTTTGCATGTTTCCCTTTATTTCCAATCCCAGTGCCATTGTTTTCAAGCCCATACCATTTACCATTAAAAAGTTATACCATAATGCATTTCTAACTGATCTCTCTGCCTCAAATCTAATCCCATACTTGTCAATCATTTTAGACATGAATTATTTGTACAACTTTCAAACTTATTGCCCTGCCTTTATTATTACTCCCCATTTTATCCCATCCCTGCATTTTTTTGAACCATTGCCAGAGCCATTTAAATATTTATTTACAAGGGTCAGCCCTTCATTTAAATATTATTCAAGTATGCAAATATAATAAAGTTATTCCTCTGTTTAAAACCTTTCCCATTGTTATCAGAATAATTTGAAAGTACTTCAATGCATGGCTCTTAAAATCAATT